GTTGTTGGAATTTGTGTGCTGGTTCAGTTTGATACTCACTTCTGTAGACGCCTGATCTACCTTTAGCCGCTGGGCAGGCACCTATTACAAAGGTAAGTAAGTAATAGGGGAGGAAAGAAAACTCAGGGCCTTGATCCTATATGACAAAAGGATTGAGGTAATATAGCATAATCTTAGGGATGGCTTTTACTGAGTTTATTTTGACACCCCATATCAAGGTGTGATGTTTTCTTGCCCCTCGAGGGTAATGTAACAACCCAAAGTGGGCTTTTCCCTCGCTGAGGGTGTCTTCCCATCAATCAATCTTGGGCGGCGAAAGAGAGCCTGGAGCCCCTCCTCCAGCTTAGCCCAGTCAAGCCAAGCCTGCCTTATTGACCTCCACAGGGTTAGTTTAGAGGCGACACCATCTAAACCTCACCTCGTCTCTTGTCGTGTTCCCGCCTCTTGTATTTTACACTCTTCATGACTGCGGCCCTTGTAGCTCAGTGACGGACTTCCGTCTTCAACCACTCCTTCACCCTCGCCACGCCGCAATTTATTCATCCTCTGCCAACCTTATCTGCGACCCCTCCATTTGCGACATCTCCCCGCCTCGACCGCTACATACAATATCTTTACCTATACCGTATTTCGAACATGACGGGCCCTGCTTCTCCTCAGGCCGAAGGCCCCACGTTTGCTCCTCCCCCTCTGCCCGCGGGCTGGATTGCTCAATGGGATGGTACAAGCAAGAAGTATTATTATGTACAGCTATCGACCGGTGTTTCGCAGTGGGAGGTTCCTACTGAACCAGCCAAAACGGGAAATACTCCAGCTCCCCAGGGCGAACATCCTTACGGCGCTCCCAAGCGTTCGGAGCTCATCACGCATCCTGATGGATCGCAAACTGTGCGCCATGCAGATGGTACCATGGAACCAATTATGCCGGACGGCACCCGAGGTGTAGACGGTCCCTCTGGTGAACGGGGTCTTGGAGTATGTCGTCTTGGCATTTCTCGATAGTGTTGAATTGTGCTAACAGCCTGTCAGAGCATGGCTATGAACGCTTTGCTTGGCGGAAAGAACTCTGGTCATGGTGGTAGCAGCAGCGGTGGCCACAGCTCTAGTCCATTGGGCAATCTTGGAGGTCTTGCCAACCAGTTCCTCGGCGGTAGCCATGGTGGTAGTGGCGGCAGCAATGGGGGAAACAAGCCCTCAGGCGCAGGAAAGCTCGTTGGGCAACTGGCGTCGAGCTTTATGCACTCGGCTAGTCAGGAGAAGCCCCCTGCCCCCCAAAATTACCATGGCAATTCCAACCAGAGCTCAAGCCATCATCAGGGAGGCCTCGCCGGGCAGCTCATGGGTGGTGTCGCAACTATGTTTGGCGGCAAACACGGCAGCAGTGTATGTTCACAACATCAGTGTGCGCTGTTTGCGCAAGACTAACCGGGCGATAGGGACAAAACTCCAACTTTGGCTATAGCTCGGGGCAACAGCCGCAACAGCAGCAGGGTGGTGGTGGAACGTACTCCGGCGAGGCACCAACCTACAATCCTACGGGCTCAGCTCCTTCGGCGGCTTCAGCGCCCCCCGCAGCCGGTGTGCATTCCTATGGCTCTCCATCCCCGAACCAGCATCAACAGCATGGCTCGAACCAACAGTACGGCTCTCAACACCAACCTGGTCAGAATCAGACATACGGATCGCAGCAGCAGCCAGGTTCTCATCAGCCTTTTAACTCGCATCAGCAACAGCCCGGCGGAAACCAGCAGTATGGTCAGCAACACTCTGAGCCAGGCCAACAGTACAGCGCGCATCAGCAACAGCCGGGTCAGAATGGCCCTTATGGCAGTCATCAGCAGCAGCCTGGTTCGAACCAGCAGTACGGAGGTAACTCTTCTTTCGGTGGGAGCCCTCATGGTTCTTCGAACAACTCGTTCCCTCCTCCTCCGCCAGGAGGCCCTCCCCAACATGGACAAAATGCACAACAGGGACAGCAATACTTTCCTCCACCCCCTGGACAACAGCCACATCAGCCGTCTTCTGGTACAGGCTATCCTGATATTCAGGCGCACGGCGGCCACTTTGGCGGCCCGCCTGATCAACATGCTCAGCAGTCACAGGGCTATAGTGCACCACCGCCAAACTCAGGCAATCAGAACTTTCCCCCTCCACCACCAGGAGCCCCCCCCGGAGGATATAGCCCTTCTTATAACGCAGGCCAGGGGAACCAGCAGTCTTACGGTGGCCAGCCGCAATTCAACAGTGGCGCTCCTCCTGTGCCTCATGGTTCCCATCCTCAGTATGGAGGAGCTTACTGAGAGACTGCAATGAACCTGTATGGAACAATCGCAGTATTTATGACCCTCTTTTGAGCCATCGGCCACCTTTATAGTTTTGGTTTGAGATCGCAAGAATATTCCACACCGAAGAAATTTATAGCTCTCCTGTCACATCCGACACTCGGATGCTTGATATGAAAGTGTTTTTCGATGAAGATGTGTGTTGAAATGAGTATAGATATCGAAGCTCTCGAGGGGGCAAGGGAGGAGAGTGGCAGGAAGTTGGAGAAGTTACGAGCAATATGATTAACGTACATAGTAGAACGCATTCCACCAAGCCCCTTTTTTAGCATCTAGAGTCGAGAGCCCAATGGTGCCAACACCTCCGTTCATCAATTCTGTTTCTTGTTTGCGCCATCGGTTGTGACTGTAATAGTCTGTAACCTAGAGGCGATAGATCTGGACACAAACCAAGCCACCGCGCCGACGAGAACAAGATAACCAGCTGCTGGGACTAGAGAACGGGGGACGATACCATAAAGATAGGGGTCGAGGATGAGATCTACGTGTGCAGGTGAAGGATCCTTCATAAGAGCCGCGTCGTTCGTAAAGTAGTCAGCAGATGACTTGATCTGGAGCAGAAGAACGGAAGCCTCGCGCTCCCTGCCTTCAGTTTGAGTTGACTCTTTTGTCAGTACAGCTTCTTGGTCTTGGCGAGAAAATGAGTAGTTGGCAAGTGATTGAATCAGCTCTGGTGTCTGCCACACGGTGTCCAGCTCGTATACAGCCAAGTTAAACACAGTGGGTTGCTGGCGGCGAAGACGAATTAGCTTGCTTTCTCTACGTAAATCTCATGTTGACTCACAATCGCAGCCCAGCATATACGAAATTCATATCGCTGGCCTTGGTTTAGTTTATCAAGAAGCACCCACGTTGCAACGCCGGAAGCGTAATCCTTTGGCTCAGAGGGAAACACGCGGCTGATATGAGTTCGAATATTTGGGGCGTCTGGTGTAAGGGTCGGTAGTCTGAGATCACCCAGTGAAGGCTTCTGTTGGGGAATAGGGAGTGATGGCGGGGCTGTGAAGATTGTCTTTTCAACATTGGCGATGGCCATGCTAAGAAGACACAGCAGGCCGCCTATGGCGTATATTACTTGAGCCCTCCCGAGAGACAGCATATTGGTATTGGGAGACCTGCGTTTGCCCTCTAACTGTTTGCGTTCATTTGTAACTCCTCCTTTCAGGCTGATGCTTACATGTTGAGCTAGAAACAAAAGCACAGGTAAGGTGCTGCTCTAAAGCGTCACGTGTGATGCAGACCAACTGCCCCGCATAAGCTATCTAAAACTCCCGTCAATGTTACAGCACATAGTAATCTGCCATGGCATTCTGTGATTCTATGTATACATTTCGCAAGTTCATTTTGGCAGATGGAGGGATAAGGACGTTGAATCGCGGTCGTGCATAGTACTAGTCGTCAAAGCTTGGCTTTGACACATCACAGACCATAATGAAGATCATCGACTGAGCTCGAGCCTCGTAGTGATAACGAACGGCAGTTGTGAGCTTTTCAAGTGACGCCTGTGTATGTACCATAATAATCGGCTTGGATATCTCGGCTTGGATATCTAGTATGTAGGTCCTAAGTTGGATACCTACGAACGCAATGGAATTGCCCCTTATTAACCATGTCTTGTAATAGGAACTACCTCCCTACAGGTAGTAGGCAGGTACCTAGGCTGCCGGTACTGAGCACAGGGCGAACGATAAGTAAGGTGGCTAACGAGAAGGGAGCTGTGGTTCCGGGCACGTATGTACTGGGGATAGTAACAGGGATGTAATGTAAACAAATGAACAGTGCCCGACAAGGATGGCTTCTGCAACTATCTTCCCGTGAAGAAAGAGAATACATACTGTGAAAAGAAAGAAAAAGGAACAAGAGTGATTGAATTGCTTATGACATTTTCTTTTGAGTTGAATTAGAGACTGTTCAAAGTTCAGACATGACACCTGGGATGGATAATTAACACAGGCGAAATGAACGCCTCAACAGCCCGAGATGAGGTGTCGTTCGACAGTGGTAAGTAAATATGGATCCATCCATTGGGTCACCGTCCAAGAGAGACACCAATAACTCAACTTGAGTGTCCTGGCGTTGGCAGCCTGGTCCGTTAAATCCAGCCCCAGCCTCTACACGACGATTCCGTAATGCTGGACATAATAAATCCTCGAAGCTGCTAATATTGATGGAGCGGTGAAGCGAAGAACCATAACCACAGACACAGAAACGACCGAGTGGTGTCCAGACGGGAGGGTCCTTTGGGCAACCCCTGGGACCCTGGCAGCTGGCCAACAGGCGCCGGCAGCGGAAAACGCCAACAGGGCGTTGCAGGACGCGCTTGCCCCTTTTCAGCCCAGGCACGCCTCGAAATCAAATCAAATCAAATCAACAAACCCATAGAAGGTCCAATCCAATCCCAGTGGAGGGCAGCAAAGACTCCCCTGTCTGCCAAATTTCCCCCACCTCACCTATTTTCTCCCATCCAGCCCACTCCACTCCGCTAACTTATCACCAAACCAAACATTCGCCCTCGCCTTGTCTCCTCTCTTCCCGTTGTAAAAGCCTTGTCTGGCCTGTCCTTTTTTGTCCTCCTCTTTTCTCGTGGTCCCTCTTCTCTGCTCTTGCATTGCATCGACTTCCTCCATCTCATACTTGTAAACACTATCGTCAGCAAACATGCGTGAGGTCATTAGCATCAACGGTAAGCTGTTCCTCCCTTTGACGTTGGGCTTTCACCGCATCTCTGTCTGCTCTGTTGCGATGCTAACTGAGCTGTTCTAGTTGGTCAGGCCGGTTGCCAAATCGCCAACTCCTGCTGGGAGGTGAGTTTTGTCAAGACTTTGTTTGTATCGATGCGTACTGATTGTTTTCCTAGCTTTACTGCCTCGAGCACGGTATCCAGGTACACACGACAACCCCTAAATTTGTCAACAAACACCATGACCAAATACTGACCAACTGCAGCCTGATGGTTACCTCACAGAGGAGCGAAAGTCCCAAGACCCCGATCAGGGTTTCAGCACTTTCTTCTCCGAGACTGGTATGGCTTAACCTAGGACTTGACGATCGTGCTGCTGTTCTAACCCATTTCTAGGTCAGGGCAAGTATGTCCCCCGCGCCATCTACTGTGATTTGGAGCCCAATGTCGTCGACGAGGTCCGCACCGGTGCCTACCGCAACCTTTTCCACCCTGAGATGATGATCACTGGCAAGGAGGATGCCTCAAACAACTACGCCCGTGGTCACTACACCGTCGGAAAGGAGCTCATCGATGGCGTCCTCGACAAGATTCGCCGTGTTGCCGACAACTGTGTTGGCCTCCAGGGCTTCCTCGTGTTCCACTCTTTCGGTGGTGGTACTGGTTCTGGTTTTGGCGCTCTCCTGATGGAGCGTCTGTCGGTCGACTACGGCAAGAAGAGCAAGCTGGAGTTCTGTGTTTATCCCGCGCCCCAGACTGCCACATCCGTTGTCGAGCCATACAACTCTATCCTTACCACACACACCACCCTTGAGCACTCTGATTGCTCTTTCATGGTTGACAATGAGGCTATTTACGACATCTGCCGCCGAAACCTCGGCCTCGAGCGCCCTAACTACGAGAACCTAAACCGTCTCATTGCTCAGGGTATGTTATAGCTGTTGGGCTATGCAGTTGCCAGTTGACTAACAACATGTAGTCGTCTCTTCTATTACTGCCTCTTTGCGATTCGATGGATCCCTGAACGTCGACTTGAACGAATTCCAGACCAACTTGGTTCCTTACCCCAGAATTCACTTCCCTCTGGTCGCCTACGCCCCGGTCATCTCCGCTGCTAAGGCTGCCCACGAAGCCAACTCCGTCCAAGAGATGACAATGTCTTGCTTCGAGCCTAACAACCAGATGGTCAAGTGTGACCCCCGTCACGGCAAGTACATGGCTACCTGTTTGCTGTACCGTGGTGACGTCGTTCCCAACGACGCCCATGCTGCTGTTGCCACACTGAAGACCAAGCGAACTATCCAGTTCGTCGATTGGTGCCCCACTGGTTTCAAGCTTGGTATCTGCTACCAGGCCCCCGAGAATGTGCCTAACGGTGACCTCGCCAAGGTCAGCCGCGCTGTGTAAGTCGATTCCTTGTCATTTGACGAATGGAATGAATGAACTAACGCCAAAACAGCTGCATGCTCTCTAATACTACCGCCATCGCTGAGGCATGGTCTTCACTTTCTCTCAAGTTCGATCTCATGCACTCCAAGCGTGCCTTCGTCCACTGGTACGTCGGTGAAGGTATGGAGGAAGGCGAGTTCTCTGAGGCTCGTGAGGATCTTGCTGCCCTGGAGCGCGATTACGAGGAGGTCGCCACCGACTCCATGGGTGAAGAGGAGCTCGAGGCTGAGTACTAAGCGTTTACGGATGCGATTACTGGAATACCGACTTCTACCCAGTTTTAGCCTGTCAACGATAAAGAGGTGTATTTTCTTATTTTCACAAAGGTCAAGCCAAAACGAATTTTAATGTCAAAAGGAACCAAAATCTGTACATGGATTGGTTGCCTCTGCAGCTTCCATGTCTGAGCCGTTGGCATTATGTGAGGCAGTACTGTAGTTGCGAGTATTGTAGTTGTAATAATGCAAGATACCTCTCCTTACAACAAAATTACCCGTCAGCTATCGAAGCCCGCGAATGTCATGGATAAACAATGCGGGGAACAACGGGTTTAGAAAGCCGCCCCGGCCCTTTAACTGTAACTGTATCAATACTGTACCGAAGCCCGAAGCTCGGCCCATGTTCTGGGGGGCCGATAGTACGCGGATTGTGTCCAATACTTAGACCTCCCATCAAGCTCGGCACTTCAATACCTTCTACTTGGACGCATTTCAATCGAACGTACATCGACTCCTGTGTCGCCTGCTCACGAAAATTTTCAAGCATGAGTCTCTTGCGGTCCAGCGTCTGCAGAGCATGTCACCGCTCGCAGCAAATTCGCTGGCATAGAGGCCTTGCGACGGCCAGCAATCAGTCATATGATAACCGGGTTAGGCTCGTCGAGGTTGGGCCTCGGGACGGCCTGCAGAATGAGAAGAAGGCAATCCCGTTGGAGACCAAGATTGAACTTATCGAACGATTGGCCCGAACTGGAGTTTCTACAATTGAAGCTGGATCCTTTGTTGCTCCAAAATGGGTGCCTCAGGTAGTGTTCTTGCTCCTCCGATGTCTACTCAGCAACCTGACACTTTTACGATAGATGAGCAACTCCAGCGAAATACTGCAGCACATCCTCGACGGAAAGGTTTCTTCTCCTGGCCCGATCTCATACTCCTTCCTAGCACCCAATGGCAAGGGCCTCAAATCTGCCGCCGATGTCCTCAGTGCGAATAGCGGAAAGTTCGCAACTCAACTAGAGCCAGCATCTGGAGCCGCGGCCGCCACCAAGCCAGCTGTTGAAGTCGCAGTCTTTGCTGCTGCCACCGAGAGCTTCACGCAGAAGAACCTCAATTGCGATGTCAAGACATCGCTCGAACGCTTCAAGGAGGTGATTAGGGATTCCAAGGCTATTGGTCTCCGAGTGCGCGCCTACATTTCTGTAGTCCTAGGATGCCCATTCGAAGGGTTCGACGTTGATCCTCACAAAGTGGCCGAGATTGCTACCGACCTTTTGGAGGCTGGAGCGGATGAGATCTCACTCGGAGACACTACAGGAATGGGTACAGCACCTCGAACCGGAGCTCTCCTCCAATGCATGTCTGCAGCTGGTATTCGAACTGAGGACATTGCCATGCACTTCCACGATACATACGGCCAAGCTCTAGTGAACACAGCTGTATCCCTAGAGCACGGCATTCGGACGTTCGATAGCAGTGTTGGTGGTCTGGGGGGCTGTCCTTACAGCCCTGGCGCGACCGGTAACGTTTCAACGGAAAACATGGTTTACTTCATGGAGACTCTGGGTATGGACACTGGCATTAATCTGGATGCTATGTCCGACATTGGAGACTGGATCACAAAAGAGTTGGGTAAGGAAAATGGCAGCACCGTAGGCAAAGCAGTTCTTGGAGCTCGGACTCGAGCTATGCAAAACGCAAAGGAAAGCTAAAGAGGAAGCTTAAGCTTGTTGCTGTATTGTTATCATTGAGTATAGTAAGAAAAGGCAATCAACTATCTACCTACCTATCTAGTTATTCAGAAATATCTCATGTTCTAAGTTTCCTTCTGTTAAGCTGACAGACTTAAAATGCCCTCGGGGGGCAAGAAAACAGCGAATCTTAATGTGGGGTGTCAAAATAAACTTAGCAAAAGCTATCCTAAGCTTAGGCTATATCACCTAAGTCTTTTTGTCATTCAGGATCGAGGTCCTGTGTTTTCTTTCCTCCCCTATAATGCCTACTTTACCTCTGCGAATGTCATGTGATGTCACTGATGTCGTAGAAACGTTCCCATGTGGAGGTGAAGGCTATCGGCCGTGCGTCGCCTTTGGGCTGGCGCAGCTGGAAAGGCCCCACTTGGATGAAGCAAGCTCAACCTCCTCCAACCTCTTGAGACCTTCTCCCAACTTCACCTCTAAGCTTCGCGATCGGCTCCTATATTCTATTTTGCCCCTTACTTCAACCGTCCGATTAACGATCCATCGCCCATCATGGCGGACCCTCGCGAGTCCTCATCGTACTCGGTCATCCCCAGAATTCGATACAACACTGTTGGCGGCGTCAACGGTCCCCTCGTCATCCTCGATAATGTACGCGGTCGTCATCTGCCAAATCGAACCGGCTTGGAGCTTGCGGGCTGACAACAAAACAGGTCAAATTCCCGCGATACAATGAGATCGTGACACTCACTCTTCCCGATGGCACTGAGCGCTCTGGTCAAGTTTTGGAAGCTCGAGGTTAGTGTGGCTGCTGGCGTCTCTGAGGTAATGACGCGGAATATGCTGATATGGTTTGCTAGGTGATCGAGCTGTCGTCCAGGTACTTTTACATGGATACGATGCGATATGAAATGGCGATTGACGATTGTATAGGTCTTTGAGGGTACTTCTGGCATCGATGTGAAGAAGGTACGTGGCATTGCGAGCTCTATTGGGAGAACATCAAGCTAAGACGACCACAGACCAAGGTTCAGTTTACAGGCCAGAGTTTGAAAATCGGTGTCTCTGAAGACATGCTTGGTCGTATCTTTGATGGTTCCGGTCGAGCTATTGATAAGGGTCCCAAGGTGTTGGCTGAAGATTACCTTGATATCAACGGTTCTCCTATTAACCCTTACTCTCGTGTAAGGCTACCCATCAGCGCTGCACGGTCGATATAATCTGATTCATGATATAGGAATATCCCGAGGAGATGATCTCCACAGGTATCTCTGCTATTGACACCATGAACTCGATTGCCCGAGGACAAAAGATTCCCATTTTTTCCGCCTCCGGTCTACCTCACAACGAAATCGCTGCCCAGATTTGCCGACAGGCTGGCCTCGTCCAGAAGCAGGGTATTACTAACAAGGGCGTTCATGATGGCCACGAGGAGAATTTCTCGATCGTCTTCGGTGCTATGGGTGTTAACTTGGAAACTGCCCGTTTCTTCACCCGCGACTTTGAGGAGAACGGCAGTCTGGAGCGTGTTACACTCTTCCTGAACCTTGCCAACGATCCTACGTGAGCTGCGAACCATATTCATAACGACAATACGCGTACTAATTTCTGTCCAGCATCGAACGTATTATTACCCCTCGTCTTGCACTCACCACCGCCGAATATTACGCCTACCAGCTCGAGAAGCACGTTTTGGTCATCCTTACCGATCTTTCTGCTTACTGTGATGCTCTCCGAGAAGTTTCAGCCGCTCGAGAAGAAGTTCCCGGTCGTCGCGGATACCCTGGTTACATGTACACTGATTTGTCCACCATCTATGAACGAGCCGGTCGTGTTGAGGGCCGCAATGGTTCCATTACTCAGATTCCCATTCTGACCATGCCTAACGACGATATCACCCACCCCATTCCTGATCTGACAGGTTACATTACCGAGGGTCAGGTGTTCATTGACCGAGCTCTGGACAACCGTGGAATCTACCCGCCCATCAATGTTCTGCCTTCGCTATCCCGTTTGATGAAGTCTGCCATTGGTGAGGGCATGACGCGAAAGGACCACGGTGATGTTTCCAACCAACTGTACGCCAAGTACGCTATTGGTCGTGATGCCGCAGCCATGAAGGCTGTCGTTGGTGAGGAGGCTTTGTCTGCTGAGGACAAGCTGTCCCTTGAGTTCTTGGAGAAGTTCGAGCGACAATTCATCAGCCAGGGACAGTACGAGTCTCGATCTATTTATGAGTCTCTGGACCTTGCATGGAGCCTTCTGCGTATTTACCCTAAGGAGTTGCTCAACCGTATTCCCGCCAAGGTTCTCAACGAGTTCTACCAGCGAGCTGCGAAGGAGTCCAAGGCCAAGGGTAAGGCTCGAGCAGATACTGAGGCCCGAAGCCAGCAGCAGACGGAAGAGAACCTTATTGACGCATGAGGGAACGGCTTGTCGGCATTTTGATAGATAGTATAATGAGCGCGCGCACCAGGCTGATGGAAGAGCAGAGAGAGAAATGTTTTACGCTGATTGTTTTCACGCTGTTGTTGAGGGAGGCTGTAGAGCAGAGCAAGAGTAGGTATATGGGCGAAGATAGGGGGGCGAGCCAATGCAATTCAACCGATCCTCAACCTGATCCTGACGTCTTATGATCGATGACCTGAGCCAAGAGGAGCATAACTTGCCATGGCGATGAGAACATACAATAGTAAAGTAAAACCTTGGATTGTTGTTATGGCATCTCTTTAGATTCAGAGATTCAGACAACCAATAAAGTCGAGTTCATGGAGAGTGGATCTACAGTGTCGAAAGTTCGAGTCACGCACATGCCACATCTTTATTTTTCTTTTTTGGGTTGTACTTACTCCAGATTGAACGGTCATGTTAGAAAACTCTTGATTTGTTCCGAGGTAATTTCGTCGTGGATAGCATATCGCCTTTTTCTCCCCCTCATACGAGCACAATATGGAGGAAGATAGAAGACAAACAGACCTGGGCACAGCAGCAGATATCGAAGAAGCTCAGCTCGCTCAGACGAGTCAAGCCCCTGCCGTCCAAAATGAGCCAGAGACAGCAACGCCACTGAAACAACCAAAGAAGAGATTCATAGGACGAAGAGCAGCAGTTGAAGCCGCAGCAAAGCTCGGAGAGTCAGGAGCATCAGGGGAGAGCGGTGCTGTTCAGAGTATGTGAAAACACTGTCCTTTGTCACCAAACGCAATTCAGGATTGGATCAAGATATACTCATGCTGTTTATTATAGCTGCCAAACCTCGGAGGGCTCCCCGACTTCTAAACCAAGTTCCCAAGGAAATTCTTGAGAACACTGATCTGAAAGCTGCCATTGCGTTATTGCCTGCTAACTACAACTTTGAGATCCCCAAGACGATCCACCGCATTCAAACCGCAAACGCCAAGAGAGTTGCGCTACAGATGCCCGAGGGCCTTTTACTCTTTGCCACTACTATATCAGATATCTTGACGCAGTTCTGCCCTGGTGTCGAGACACTAATTATGGGCGATGTGACTTATGGCGCCTGCTGTATCGATGATTACACAGCAAGGGCCCTTGGTTGTGACCTGCTGGTGCACTATGCCCACAGTTGTCTCATCCCCGTCGACGTGACCACGATCAAAACTCTATACGTCTTTGTAGACATCAGCATTGACGCGACACATCTCCTAGCATCCCTTGAGCGCAACTTTGCCAGTGGCAAAACAATAGCTGTTGTCGGCACTATTCAGTTTAACGCTACTATCCATGGCGTCAAGAGCAGTCTCGAGCGCGGTGGCTTCCGAGTTCTCGTCCCCCAGATTGCACCATTGAGTAAGGGTGAGATTCTGGGCTGCACTTCTCCTCGTCTGAAAGACGACGACAATATCGATCTGATCCTGTACCTGGGTGATGGTCGTTTCCACCTTGAGAGTATCATGATTCACAACCCTTCTATTCCAGCGTACCGATACGACCCTTACTCTCGAAAGCTCACGCGGGAGGCGTACGGCCATGAGGAAATGCAGTCTCTCCGTCGAACAGCCATTCATAGCGCCCGTACAGCACGCAAATGGGGCCTGATTCTCGGCGCCCTTGGCCGCCAGGGCAACCCGCATACATTGGGCCTCATCGAGAAAGAGCTCAAGGCGCGAGGCATTCCTATTGTGCACTTGCTACTAAGTGAGATCTTTCCGGGCAAATTGGCGCTCATGTCGGATGTCGAGTGCTGGGTACAGGTTGCTTGCCCTCGATTGAGTATTGATTGGGGTTATGCATTCCCACGGCCGTTGCTAACGCCGTATGAGGCACTTGTTGCATTGGGCGAGCGACAAGATTGGGGTGAAGGCGTCTATCCCATGGACTACTACGGAAAGGACGGGCTAGGAAGGACAAGGCCATTGCAGACTGCCTCAGGATAGAAGCAATGATGATACTGAACGGTTGAGATCCATCAAGTGCTATAGGACCTTGGCTGGATACACAGTAGGGTGATGAAGAATAAAGTCGAATATCGATAAAAAGAAGTGGACGCATGTGTGAGCTTTGGACTCGGATTAAGAGGATATGAGAGATTTGAGTGTTGACTTGGAATAAGGTGCAGAAGTGTCGCTCAGCATTCGTAGTACGATATAGCCTTTTTTTTTGTTGACCTCTTAGTGTAAAAGAAAAGACAATCAGGTCGCATTGGCTGTTCCGACAGGCTCTGGCCGGTTTGGAAACATAAGCTTGTACTTGACAATCTCAACCACCTCAAGATTTTCGCCCTGCTCGAGTGTTTCTCCCCCTGAGCCAGATATCACCTTATTCTCTCTCTTTCTGACTACGGCCATTGCTTTTGGGAGCTTCTTGATCTCCCCAGTGAGACGTTGATGCTGGCCGACATAAAGGTGAACCCGCTTCATCCATGCTGAGCCTTCGGTACCCATCACGAAATCTGGGAAGTCAAGTCTTCCAACTTGGACGCCACCTAGTGCATCTCCATTGGCGTCTTGGGGTAGATTGATGGTTCCTTGAAGTTCCAGGAGAGCTAGACCTGAGGGGGTCTGCAGGAGTTGAGGTAGAGGACTTGAGGACGGCGCCTTGTTGCTTGGAGGATATAGCTTGGCCGAGGACATGACGAGAGAAAAAGTGAGAGTGACGATGTTTCAGACTGTTTATATCGGTCCAACATTTGGGCGTATATGTATCAGTATCTAATCTCTCCAGCTGAACTTCCACTGACACCTTGAGTCTATGTAAACAAAAGTTCGAGGTACGCCTAGAAATCTACAGTATGGAAAATACAGACAGATACACGGTGTGGAACAGTCGATAGTAGCTCACACCATGGATCTGAGGCAGGTGAGCGGAGAAATCGGACTTTCTTTTTCCCGAGGGTTGAAATTGTGTTCATTGGCTGCCCGGCAGTAAGAGCCCTAGCGACTCGCACTTGCCTTCCACAATTTTCGAATTCGGAAATTTCGAACCTCATCATCCTCTACTAACTTCACAGCAGGCCAGGTCAAGTAAACTTGCACCCACCACAACTGGCAATATGAAGGTACGACAATAGCAATCAACAATCGAGCTATGCGAGTTTACGGGAGAGTCTTTTGTTATCTGAAATGGATTAATCACTCCTGTCAACTGGCCTCCACGCATGCGCTGCTGCTCGATTGAAGATCTCGAAGAAAATATTCGCTGACATTTTTCTTTTGCAGTTGAACATCAGCTACCCTGCCAATGGCAGCCAGAAGCTCATCGATATTGAGGATGAGCGCAAGCTCCGTGTCTTCATGGAGAAGCGCGTACGTCGAACCTCTCTTGCCCTTTTGCCTACGACCACTCGGCTCGTCGATAACAAACCGATCGACAAAATGCTGACTCTTTTTTTGGTAGATGGGCGCTGAGGTTCCTGGTGACTCCATCGGCGATGAGTTCAAGGGGTACATCTTCCGCATCACTGGTGGAAACGACAAGCAGGGTTTCCCCATGAAGCAGGGTGTCATGCACCCTACCCGTGTCCGCCTCCTCCTCTCCGAGGGCCACTCTTGCTACCGACCCCGACGCACCGGTGAGCGCAAGCGAAAGTCTGTCCGTGGCTGCATCGTCGGCATGGATCTCTCTGTCCTCGCCCTCAGCATTGTCAAGCAGGGTGATGCTGACATCCCCGGCCTCACCGACGTCGTCCACCCTAAGCGCCTCGGTCCCAAGCGCGCCACCAAGATCCGCAAGTTCTTCGGCCTCACCAAGGATGACGATGTATGTCTCTCCCTACGCCCATACTCGATCATCGCCTACCCGGAGCTGCAGTGGAGGAGTTGGCAGACCGGGTAGAGTGTGAGAGGACCCCTTGATCTTCTTTGTCAAGCAAGAGTTCAAGGGGTAGCGAGTTGAACAATCATAACCACAAGAATTCAAAGTAGCTAATGCTTACATGATACATAGGTCCGCAAGTACGTTATCCGACGAGAGGTTCAGCCCAAGGGTGAGGGCAAGTCTCCTTACACCAAGGCTCCCCGCATCCAGAGACTCGTCACCCCTCAACGTCTCCAGCACAAGCGTCACCGCGCTGCCCTCAAGCGCCGCCAGGCCGAGAAGGTCAAGGACGAGGCCGTAAGTCACTCAAACGCTCAGCACACCTATCATCAGCATCTAACACGATATGCAGAACGAGTACGCCCAGATCCTTGCCAAGCGTGTTGCTGAGGCTAAGGCCAACAAGGCCGATGCCCGTAAGCGACGAGCAAGCTCTATGCGCAAGTAGGGTTCTGGCGTTTAATGAAAAAAAAGTGGAATCATACCTTGGTCTTGTAGTTTGCATGCATTGGGAGTGAGGATTCTCTATAGGGCTTGTTTTGAGCCAGCCACGAGTGCGTTAGAGACAGTTCGAAAATATGAACATGCATTAATGCACTCGTATTCCGCATCCATTGGCAAACTCCGCCCCTGACTACGTGTATACTAAGCCATTCTTCTCCTGTGTTTCTTAATTGTGACTTGTCGATAGTTTTGCGCCAATTTTATGTAGTCCATGACGGGAATAACTGGAAATCAGGGGGTGAATCACTAATAAACACAACTCAAGCCATAGAGCAATCAAACACAGCACGCACAATGTGTTGTTTTCCGGGTGATCACCTATTAAACTTTGATTGATATACATGGAACTTCGCCTATCGTCTACTTTTTGCGCGCTTTCCGCGTTCCAAGGAACCTGTAGGAGACCTGCACTTCTCCCAAGGTGAAGCCCGGACGAGGATGCTACATCCAGTGCTCAAGATCATAAAATCTCGAGGCTAGGCTGATAAAACACAATACCAGTACCGTAGTAAAAATCAACAACTATCTTTTCCATTGGTGTCCCCATCTATGATCCCTTTCCCTTTACGCGCCTGCAATGCAAAGATTGACGATTACGCGAAGCCAAAATATTCGCTGCCTGCTGTGATGGCCTTCATGATCTGAGAACGCAAATGGTCGTAGCTCTCATACTCTGGAAGGTCAAGCTCTGTAATTTTTCATGTTAGTCAATGCACGAATTGAATGCTGATGATTCTACTTACGGTTAAAACAGGTATGCGAAGAAGGCAATCTGTCTTTATTGCCATAGTCACGGTGGATGTTGAATCGGTTAACACCGTTCATGCCTTCAAGCTCCTTGAAGCCATTAAGTGGAACCTTGCTGGTTCCTGTGACGAACTGCAACAATTTGGCGCGCTCTTCCTTGTCAAACGACCGCAAAGCTCGCCAGAACCATTGAATTTGTTGCGAAGATGGTGTGTAGTTGTGATACTCTGTGTTGCTCTTCCAGTCATCGATATCAATATCGGGGAGGCCAGAAATCAAAAGCTCCAGCTCCTGTTCGTTGAATATGGATATCAGTTCGGCAGGGATAATGTCATGGAAGCCTGTTGAGAATTAGTTAGTGATTGAATCAAGTTATTATTGACTGAAATGCTTACCTTGAAGGAAATGGGCCATCTGCTCCTTGACGGAAGATAGCAACTTGTGTTCGACAACAAGACGGACATAGTCATGTTTGTTCTCCTCCGTGACGGCAATCTCTCGGCCATTAGGGATGAGATCAACGACGGTGGTGGCGCCGAACTCATCGTTTTCGACCGAGAAAGTTTCGGTGATGATGTCAGTGATGTCGTTTTCCAGCATCCAGCACAAAGACTTATAGTAGTCGGGGTCGAATGATTCCATATCCTTGACCGAGACGGATTTGCCGAGGATTCGCTTGTATACAGCACGACTAAAGTAACAGTCGAGGACGCGACCCTCGTATAATGCTTTGCCGATGATGCGACCGATGAATTTGAAGAACATAAGATGCTCATCATTGATGCCGCTGAGTTTGTTTGGGTGGAAGGTCGTCCGGTCAGAGGACACTGGTGTGAAGAGCACATAGTTTGGATCAAACATCTGCCGAGAGAGTACTTGGAACCACTCGCGAGTAACTCCACCAGCATCAACGCCTTCCTCGCCATGGAAACGAATGTTGAGCTTTCCAAATTTCATCTCATCCCCAGACTTGAAGTACAAGGACTTGAACGAGTCATGGAAAACCTGTTCACGGCGGACGGAAAGTTGTAAAGTAGGATAGGAAGGTCGGCTCTGATTGCTACCAGATCGGGAATGGACGCTGCGGTTAAAGTAGTTGCGCTTGTTGTCGAATTCCAGTACCTTGGGGTTCTTCACGAGGAGTGCGAAGGTGCCCGACATGAGCTTGGGATTGCTCCTGACAAGCTCGTTAAGGATACGCCGATGATCCTCGGTAAAGCTAAAGAAGAGACTGGCCGTACGAGACTCGGGTGCCGGGCTTGAGAGGACCATTTCTTTCTGCTGTGAGGGATCATCGTTGGTGGTTGTATTCTTGCAGACCACCATGAGGGATTCAATCAGTGGTAGCAGGATTGTAGCCACATTGAGCATGCTTTCGCGCTGACGAATGGCACTCAGGCAAGCACTCAACTTCTCCCACATGGCCGAAAAGGTCGAGTTGTGGTAGAGAGATGTGACTAGATCGTGTCTCTCATCCTTATCCTTGCTGGACTCGGCCTCGTCGCCCTTTTTCTTATTGTCGAACAAATGATCTAATGCTGTCAAAACACGAAGGAGCTTGTTTTGCTCGGATGCTCCTGGCGAGAATTTGGCAAGAGCAACGCCTTGGATCTCAGTGCCTGAAGATGCCTTTTCAATATGTGGCAAAAGGTCGTCCAGATCAGCGACGATATTCTCACTAAGAAGCCGGGCCTGGTGAACAAGCTCCTGACCAAATGTTGCCTTAGCCCCTGGAATGGCTGAGAGGTTCTTGATAGTCGAGATCGTGTTTTGGAAAGTCTTGGAGCTGCACTCTCGAGCCACAAAGATCCTTACGGCTAATGTCAGGTTCTGGGCGGGGACAATAGGCGGCTGAAGTTGCCGGAGTTTCTTCTGGACTGCTTCTTTCTTCTCTTGTTTCTTGTTATTGACATCAGTGACAGTGTCCTCTTTGGCATCGGTGCTGGATTGCGTAACATTGCTCGTTTCGGTTGGTTCGGCTTTCGAAGCTTGCTCCACAGGATCTTCAGTTTTGGGCATCTCTCCCACCGGGGTCGAATCAATAGCTTTCAGTTCGTCCTCGGCTTCCTTGCGACGACGTTCAAGATTTTGAAGAGGCAATGTGACTCGATTCAACAGATCAGCCAGATGGGTCATAACGACGGAGCTTTCCATAACAAGGTCGCGGTCAAGGAGTGATAGCAAAGAGTTGATGGCATACTTGTGGGACTTGGAGTCCTTGCCTTTGCCCTTACGGCTCAGGGAGCGCTTGAGAGTTGAGCCGACGGCTTCGTGCTCTGTCAGGAAAAGCCAGGGAATATGAGGGTTCTTTGATGATAACTCCACCAGCAGATCCAGGCACTGCTGAACAATCAAGAGAGGCGAGGTTTCGGAATTGGTTTGCGTAGTGTTTGCGGTGGGTAGACCAGTCAGGCTTCTCTTGAGTGCCTGCGGGGTTTTCTGCTCGGAGTCCTTCTCCTTATCCTTCGGTCTTCGTGCCTTTAGGGACAACTGGCCGAAACTGCGCTCGACAGCCCCCATGTCTGTGCTACCGTCCTGCAAGATCTGAAGGAGAGTGCTAATTACCTCGAGTCGAGTTTGCTTATTCTCGCAGACATCGGCAAATACATTGAATAGGTGGTTCCTTATGGAACCCTGTTGCGTAATGAACATCAGACGAAGGAGCGTAGCGACACCGGCCTTATCGAGCATCTGAACAACCGTTCGGCGCTGGACCTTTGCTCCCTCTTGTGGGTCAGGTGGCCCAGGCTGCCGATTTGTGCTGGCTTGAGGGCTGCGGCCTGTGATGACGGAATGGCCGTTGTTGTGGTGCGACAAAGCTCGGGCCTGGGCCGCCATTTCTGGGGTCAGTCGATCCATGAGCTCTTCGCCTTGGTCCATAAGAACCTGTTGTCGTAGATCAGGCGGGAAAGTGAGGAGGATACTGGCAGTATCCATTTCTGGTATGACAGCCTGGCCAGTGCTGGCGGATGCTTGACGATTCGTTTCTTCACGAGCCCGGCGGCGCTGCTCTTGTCGCTCCTGTTGAGCTATTTCGTGTCGTAATTCTTCAGGAAGAGCATCTAGAAATTCTTGGAAAGCTTCGGTTGAGTTCCCATTTGTCTCTTCACGTGCCTCAGACCTTCTGGTGCTGATTGCTTGTGCAATGACCTCCTCGCGAAACTCCTCAGGAAGAGCTGCGATATAATCAGGATCAATACCGAGTTCGGTGACGTCGACCTCTTCGCCTCTAATTGTGGTCATGACACGAGGACCGTCGTCTGCGGTTTGCTCTGTAGCCTCCGAACGTTCTGCTTGACTTTGGTTCGTCGGCTCGACGCCTTCCATCGCACCTCCATCGCCTTGGCCTTCAGTAGACACGTCCTGATTAGCGGCTGCTTCAGAAGCGGCACGTTCAGCAGCCTCTCGAGCCTCTGCCTCTCGCTTTTCTCTCTCCGCCTTCTCTTTAGCCTCTTTTGCTTCACGTGCCAGGCGCTCCTCTTCTTCTCGTTTCTTCCGTTCTTCTTCTTCGCGCTTCTGCTGTTCAGCTTCTTCGGCTTTTAGCTTCTTTTCCAACTCCATCGCAGCGGGGGTAAGCTTAGCCACGATGATGTTCTGGAGCTTAGCCGTTTCTGCTAAATTGCCGGTCCCAAAGACCATCCTGGCTTCCTCCTGATATCGATCCATCGTGCCTTCAATAGCAAACGACACAGCTTGTAATGGATCCTGAGCCGAACCTTCGCGTCTCTGTTCAGTACGGGAGGTTCGTAGGGCGCCAAGCTCTCTAGACTCGCGGTGCCCATGCGGACCAGTAATCTGCAGATGGAAGGCAGGCTGTCCGTTGCGCCCCATTATTGGGAGGAATTCCATTAGTTCACCGAGGAAGCCCATGGTTCCCTCGATATGTCGTCCACCTGAGCCAAAGATCGCTTCAGGAACTCGCAAACCGATAGTGTGATTGATGGTGGGACGTTGAGATGCTTCTCTGTTTTGGTCGCCCCGTCTGAGGAGTGGGTTTGTGCCATCATCGGGGTTAGATTGGCCTGCCCCAGGGCGATGGCTGCGTGAAAAGAAGCTGCGAAAATCGCCAGCAGCGGCGTCCCGATGAGAGCCAACAATGAAGCCGGGAGGGAAGGGGCTGCGCGAGTCGGTGGTACGGGAAGGAATAAAGCGTCGGCGACCTGGGTTGTCTACCATGAACATCTGGCGGTAACGATC